GTTTTTATATCATAATCAATAATCATAGGGTCCTGTTGCTGGGAAGGCATCTCAAGCAGGCACTAATGATTTTTGAACAACTTCCGTTGCAAACCTTACACCCTATGTTCTGAATCCGAGAGTCTTCGGAAAAAAAGAGGTGCGGGAATTGACTGGTGCAGGAAAGTCTCCTGCAAGCAAAGCTCACGAAGTTGAATAATTCAGGGTTCATGCTCACCTTAATGAATGTGGAAGCCCAGCAGGAACCCTACCGGGTTTTTAGGGAGCTGGATCAGCTTTCATGATAGCGTTTGTGAGGGTAAGGCTTGAGCTTCAAGGAGTGCTGGGTCTCGACGGGAAGGCCGCTTATATCTTGGCATTTCTGTTCAATTTTTGTCTTGGAAAGCTCTTCCTTCTAATGGATCTTCACAAATGACCTGAGTCCCACTAGTCAGGGGAACACTGAACAAATGCCATGTGAAACATCCCCTTCATGCTGCTCGAGGGTAACAGCTATGCTCACGTCACCCCACTAAGAGTCTGCATTGAGCAGCAGCAGGAGCAGCAGCAGCAGCAGGAGCAGCAGCAGCAGCAGCAGCAGCAGCAGCGACGCTTTAGCAAAACTTGGTATGATTGTGGAGAGAGCGTAGCACAACTCTAGAAACATGTTCCATGGATTCAGTTTTTACAGCAGACCTTGTTGTGAAGTGGATTTTTATGAGCGGGCAAATTGGGACATGTCCGAAATTTTGGCAGCACCGGCTTTCAACCTGAATAAACTACTATATAACCCTCAGTATGTGGTTTAGGATTGGGATTTCGTGCTTGAGGACTAAGGATTTGAATTAGAAAGACATTTAACCTACTCTCTCTCACAGGTCTGCAGCAGTGTCCAAAACCTCTACTCTAGACTGCGACATGTGAGGAAACTGAGTAATCTAAAAAGCAAAGCATCAGGCATACACCACATCAAAACGGCAACCCCCACGCCTGCTACATCAGTACTTGTTTAGGCTCTGGGTTTAAATTTAAGGTTTCGGGACACTCCAACCCAACTAACCCCCATTCCTGTCAAAACTCTTACAAAGTTCACGCATGTCCGGAACCTGAAATTGTTTTTGCCTCCCAGAAACCCTTGTTGGGATTGGCCTTCTGCCCATGCTCTGGCTGCCATGGTAGCTGGCGAAGAGCTTGTGGCTCTGGATTTCAGAAAGGAGATTGAATGGTGCACAAAGGTAAAAAAGGCAGGGTGTAGACTAAAGCTTTGAGTTTTCTGTTTTACGAAATGTCGATATGGATTTCTGGGCAAAACATTTGGGCTAGCTGAATAAACTGTGGTTTCAATTTGAAGTTCAGGTAAATAACGAGTTTCGTGATGAATGGGTCTAGTACGGACATGGGATTCAAAATGTACAAGGTCGGCAAGAAACAAATTGCTGATACTTTACAAGACATGGCCAATGAAAAACCATACCAAGCAATTGAGACCATGTGTCAAAGCCTGTTCACTGGTATCCCTATGTTATCACTGCAGTTGATTGAAAGACGTCGTGAGCAAGCTTGCCTGTGCCTCAATGCAGAGGATAACTCCTTCACGGATCACTGGCACAGTGACCCTGAAGAAGACCTCTGGGATGAGGCGTGGAAAAAAGCTGCGGCGCAACGTGGGCTGTGCAGGGCTGGGGTCCAGGGTTTAGGGCCCTGGAGTTTAAGTTCCGACATAAATGATGCCCCCACCCACTAATAATTGGAGTATTCATATACTCGAACTCAAATGCGATTACCATCATGCCTTATCTTAGCTCAATGGTCGCACGCTGGGGTTAAAGATCATTTTGACATGCATAAGGGCGACATTGGGGACACATTGTTGGAACATTTTCGGCACCTGAAGTTAGGGGGAGAAGCGTGGAAGCCTTGAGGTCACGGCTAATTGCTAGAGAGTCCTTCAGACATCCAAAATTGAAAGTTTTGCCGTGTAGCATGACTCCAAATTTTTTGACAAGAACGCAAAGGTCCCTTTACCCAGGGATACAATGTTGGTGGAAGGCCCCTGCGAAAGCTTAGAACTTAAAATGTACAGACGGAGGCCACTGATGAATTTGATACCTGGCAATCCCTCCACACTAGGCCCTAGAAAAAAAACTCCCATACTGTTACCATTGACTGTCGCCATGTATCGCATGATCACATTAAGAAATGATGGGAATTTCCATAAATCAAAGGAACCAATAAAGACAATAAAAAAATTACTGTGCCACTTGCCACTTGATAACCAAATGTGAAATTGGTCCCAACGTCACACAACACATGACAAAAGGAGTGAAATGTTGTTCAGAGGTAAGCCGCCGCCAAACTGAAGAATCATGAGGGGGCCAAAAGCTTTGTTTGCTGCGCACGCCTGTTAAAATCATATAAACATTTTCTGGGTCATACACAATACATGAGCACACCACACGCACATGTTCCATTTTAACCAGAATGTCCGCATGCTGCGTAACATGGATAAAAACGAAAAACATGTAACTCTTGCTATGTTGAAATAGGATGTCCCAAGTATTGTGCTGGCTTTGTTGCAAGACATGGAAAATGTACACATGAATTTTTTGCGCTGTCACTCCCAGTCTTGCTGTTTGGGGGAGAAGTAGGGAGTAAATTCGAGTATTTATGTGACTTCTAAATCAAGATGCCCAAACCCCACGTGTAGCCCCTAGCAGGCGATGTCCCGCGGTAGGAAGGGTGCGCAAAATTTGCCCGCCTCCTTTGGTGAAAGCTTCAGACCAAATTATGGCCTCACAAATCTACCCTACTCCCCACTCCGACCTAACCACAGGCNNGCGGCTGCAGTCTGTTGGGGTGTGGTTTGAGCCTAGAAATGCGCAGTGAAACATGCTCTCATATTGGGCTCACATGGGCTATGTACAAAAATGAAATGTTTGTTACGCCCTCGTCGATTTTCGTGGGGATGTTTCATCCACATAATCGAACTAATCATATTCTGTACAAGAAACTAACTACTCAGCCAATCATCTCATTTCCATGTCATAAAACAATGCTGAAAGTCAAAAGATCACATCATCATGACAATCTCATTCAAGGATCGATCATCATACCCGTCTTGGACGGCTTGTTACGACTTGACTTCTGGACGCAACTTTAGCACAAAGTCACATCAACGGCTAGATGCAACGGATTTAATTCCATCACAAAGCCTTTGCTGGCTCTCAAAGCCACTTGTAACCATTGGGCCAAATGCCCACTTTCCAAAGTCGCCTAAAACTGGCACGCCTTCAAACCAAAACGGATAATCAGAATCAACCACTTGAACGAACATGTCAAAGATGACTCGTGACCAACTACTCAAATAACCATAATCACCCTGCGGCTCACTTTTCCATCACGCAAGGCGGTTCAGGTCATCATGCCTTCAAGAGCTGAATTAAGCAAACTACTTCAAGTTCGCTTCGTCCTAAATCACTTGGGCGCACACACGTTTTGTAGCCGTCTCCAACGAACTACGGTGAAACATGCAATCATTTGTTGCATTTTGAACAGCACTACGGCACAGGGAAATCGCCATTCCCTCAGATCGTAAGTCGATTCAAAATCAGCTAAAGTTTTCAAAGCATCTTAGCGGTCTTAGCGCTTCTTCATTCGAATACACCCTTGAGGATCTGTTGTCCTCTCATTATGGCAACTAATGCCTCGCTCACTTGCTTTTTCTTTCTTTCCTTTCAGCCTTTTTCTTTTCCTTGGCTGCTCGTTCCTCTTCCTTCTTGCGGATCTTTTCATTCAACTTCTCTCGCCGTCTTGCCTCTTGTCTCTTCTCTTTCTCTTCATCTCTTGCGTTTCTTTCCTTTGCTTCCTCAGCCTCTTTGGCCCTCTCGGCCTCTTTTTCTTCTTGCCACTTCTTCTCCCTGTTCTCGAATCTTCCTTGCGGCTTCTTCTTTCGCTTTCTTATTCTCGGCTTCCTAAAATCAAAGGATTCCATTTTGGTTGCGTAGAGCCAAAACTATATCGCTTTGTGCTCTTAACTCAGCCTTCAGCTTCTCCTTCTCCATCCTTTCTTTCTCTTTCTGCTTTTCCTTTTCAACTCTTTCTTTCTCAATCCTTTCTTTCTCCCTTTCTTCTTCTTTCTTTTCATCATCTCTCTTTTGCTTCTTCTTAGCTGGCTCATCTTTCGCCACTTCAACCGTTCAGGCCGTCTCTTTGACCAACCCAATCTCAGTAATGTGATCCAGCACTTCCTGTTTCGTCATCTTGGATAGGGTGATATCGTCTTTCAAAGTACATTCGTTCTTACTTGCAACTCCCCCTGCTGTGGGAGAACCCCTATTTCAGAGGTTAGACCTCTGTTTTTCGAGATCGCTAAGCGCGTGTTTCCGAACGTGCAGCTGCTGCAGTACGTAAAGTGCTGCGGGCTCTTACCCACTGCTTCAAAGCTGCTGCGAGCTTAAATCTAGCTCGAGTTGGATTTCGCAGTCGTACGCCCCGCGGATATCTCTCCTTGGCAGGCGCGGCACTTCTCCCAGAGCTTTGGAATCTCCTCTCGACGTACGCTTTGCCTTGCGGATGCATAGGAGGCCCCACTGTGGCTGATGCTTACCTTGAAGTACTTTGACGGTACCTCAGCTGCTCAGCGTCATACCTTCTTCCTTGCTTGGCTCCTCCGTTCTCTAATCATCCGCCTTTCTCTTTCTATCATCATCCTTTGGTTCCTCCTTCTCTACCGCGGCGGTATCTTTCTTTCCTTTTTTCATAAAGCCGCCTTGCTTTCTCTTTCTCAAGTTCATCCTGAACCAACACAACCTCGGAAGGCATCTTAATGTCCTCGAGGTTTTCCTCAACCTCGCTTGCAGGGGTCTGTCCTGCATCCAAGGTGTACGTGACGCGGACATAAATTTCCCTTTAATTGAATCTGGGTTCGAATCTAGGTTCCGAACCTGGGTAGGAACCTGGGTTGAAACCTGAATTCCGAACCTGGATTTGAACCAGGGTTCAAAACGTTCGAACCTGGGTTCCAACCAAGGTTCGAACAACGGGCTTCGGCTCTGCTGTCTGCGGAATCACCAGCGGCTCTGCAAAAATGTTCTTGGCCACGGGGGGCTGAGTCTCCACACACTGCGAAACCTGACTGTCCTCCTGTTGGGGGATCCACTGGTCGCGCCTTCACAGGTGTCACGTCCGTACCTGAGCTCAGCCTCTCCAAGCTCTGCACTGCCACTGCTACCGCCCTGGGGCTATCTCTGCCACCTCCGACATGCTGAGTCCTGCTCCCATTCCGCAGTCGCCTTCCAGAAGGTTCTTCTCCGCTTGCTCCGGCACCGGAGTCGGAATCTCGTGCTCCTGCACCGGAGCTTGTGTCTCCAAGGCTGCCTCCTCCATTCGCTGCTAGGTGTGAGCGGGACCTCAAGCTGATCCACCCATCTTTCAAGCTGGTGGAAGACAAAGAACTCGAAGTCGCTAGGGAGCAAACAAGCTGAGGTTCCCCGTCAACCAAGGTCACTCTCCAAGATCGCAAAACAAGCCAACCACAGTTGCGGTACCAATACGTATATAGCCTAATAGGTCTTTGGGGGTGGCTACCACTAAGAACCCAAGAGAAAGCAAACTGTGCACACAGTCTGTCACAAGAGCTTGCAACTCAGCACACACAAGGCTGCTGCCATCACAAGTCAGAAACTGGGCTCTCACTGTCACTCTGCGGCTAAGGTTGAGAGCTTCTCCTGCAAGAGCACTGCACCTCATGGAAGTCCTAGTTCACGACAACGACATGGCCACCGTCAATCAAAACTGTGAGACAGCAAATGAATGCTGGCACCGCTATCTCCTCGCCAAAGATGATCCCAAAGAGACTCATCCATGCTACTTCTAAGACGTCCAAACATCAGATTGCTCACAGACATCTCTTCTACAGCGTGCTGCTCATGTAGTGCTGCTACTTGTTGTTCACCATGTCCAAGTTCATGCCAAAGCAACGATCAACCATGCACCAAGCTTCACAAAATCATGTCAAGGTCATGTACAGAATCATGCTCTCGTTCGTGAAAAACTGCTCGCTCATGTAAAACATCATGCTCATGACGAAAAACTTCTCCTTCACGTTGCAAAACTGCTTGCCCATGTTGGAAAACTTCTCGCTCATGCTGCAAAGCTTGTTAGAAGGCAAAGCTTCAAGGCTTTCAAGGCAAGCATCATGGTGACTCCAAGCTGAGTCCCGGCTTTCACCTTGACTGCTGGCTGCCCAGATCCCTTTCCATTTCCGCCATTCTTCTTCTTGTCTGGACAATTCTTCGCGAAGTGTCCAGGCTTGTGGCAGAAAAAACACTTCCCGTTCGACTTTGCAGGCTCGCTCGAGGCTCGAATCTTCGCTCCGCCCTTGCCCTTGTCTTTGCCACCTTCTTCTTGTCCTCCTTCTGAAGCTTTTGCTGCTGGTCCTCCCTCCAAGCTGTTCTGTTCGATTTCATGGGCCGTGATAATGGCCCGAAACAACTCTTGCGGGTAGAAGTCGTCGAAAGAGTGCTCATTTATTCGGGCTTAGATTTCGACGGCGCTCCACGCGCCAACTTGAAGGCGCCCCTAGCCGGGGCGAGGGGGTGCGAAGCACTCTTCTCCAGTCACTGTTGAAGTGTCAGGCAGCGTAGTGCGTCGACCATTACTACTACGATTACGACTACTACGAGTACGAGTACTAAGACTACTACTAGTACTACTATTACTACTATTACTACTACTACTACTACTACTACTACAACTACAACTACAACTACAACTACTACTACTACTACTACTACTATTACTACTACTACTACTACATAATACTACTACTACTACTACTACTACCACCACTACTACTACTACTACTACTACAATTACAACAACAACTACTACTATTACTACTACTATTATTATTACTATTAT